ATTATCAAGATACTGTGCTTTCGGTGCCCTGGGTTTATTAGCCTTCAGTCATTATTCGTATATCGACAGTATCATAACGAGAGCATTACCAAACGACACTATACTTTCTCCTCTAATACAGGTAGTAATAGCAGTGTTATTCATGTCTACAGACTAGTACTACTATTACTACTACTTCAGGTATCGTTGTGCATTGGTCTCTATCTCACTTATCCTCTCATGCTCTTCCCCGTATTTGAATTGATGGATGTATTCTTCAATTCTAATATTAGGTTATATTAACATCAGATTGATACAGACTCCATTGACGACTACAACTACCTTCTATTGTCTATTAGGCCATACTTATGTTCTAATGTAAGCAACAACAGCAACAACAGCAGCCCAGGAATGTATTATCACTTACTCACCCATTATATCTTCCGATTGGGGTAATAACAAGAGTAGTAGATATTTCTTCTATTCAGGAGTATTGTTGCTATTATATTAGATACGTATCGTTAACAGCAATATTGGCAGCATACATCCCCAACTTTGGAGCATTTATTTCCCTTGTCGGAGCCAGTGCTAGTGCCACATTAGCATTTGTAATGTGCATCACGCCTCCTACTCAGTCTTTATAATCATCATCATCATCATTGATCACACTCCTACTCATGATGATGATGATGCAGAACTAATCTTCTTCACCCATTCCTCCCCACTCCTACTTATAGATTCTCCCACCTGCATTCCATATCAAGCTACGAGGCAGGGAGTTATCAAAGTGGCAGGTGAGTACTACACTTACTCATGCCATTACTATTAATGCTGCTGCTCCTGCTGCTGCTTACACATTCCATTACTATTAATGCTGCTGCTCCTGCTCCTGCTTACACATTCCATACTATTAATGCTGCTCCTGCTCCTGCTGCTCCTGCTCCTGCTCCTGCTGCTGCTGCTGCTGCTGCTGCTTTCCTCTCTTGTTATCATCATCATCATCATCATCATCATTCAGTATCTCCGGGAATTGGTATGCATAATGATAGGATTTGCTGGTGGCATCATCGGTACGGTGGAGGCTTGCAAAGATGCACTGTAAGATGTTATTTAGCCCAGTACTTGAAATATATTCTACTGCTGCTGCTATTGCTGCTACTGTCATCTATTCAATCGATCATTATTATTGTCATTACTCTTATTGACACTCTTATGATGCAATGGATATTCCCTCAGAGGAGCTCTACAAGGCCAGGATGTTGAAGGTTAACATATCTGTATGATTGTAATCCTATTCTGCTCATTGCTGTTCTGTTGCTGCTCTAACCTGCCTATTACGTAAGTTGTCGGCATATTGATGGTATCGGCAAGAGTTATGTTGATGTTGGAGGATGGTTCCTTTCTGATTCAGAAGTTCGGATGTACAAGTTGACGTACATGAAGAAGAAGAAGAACTACTCTCCTTTCACAGTCCAAAGAACACCTTGGCACAATTACCCATGGGTATGTTATTTTTGAGATGTCTGGGGGTATCTGCAAGCATATAATCTGATGAGTAATGAAGATGTGAGGAGAATAGGTCCCAATAGATTGCCGTTTCAGTTGCTTCATCGTCCCGGTGTATTCCTGGTTAAGGTTATATAAGATGTCTTTCGGGAAAGTGATGATCGACATGTGTGTCGTTTAATATTGTGTTTCGTTATTTGTTACTACTATTGTTGTTGTTGAATAGGAGGATGGTGCTCAGGAAAGGGTATGTTGATAGTAGTAAGTGGGTCGCCGGTTTATGTCCTTAGCAAAGCAACAACAACAACAGCAACAACCTGCGACAGCGGTAAGCCTGGAGAATAGTCAGGGTCTGCCAAATCAAGTTCTCTATGTTTGCGGTAACTGTGGAAATGAGCAGGAGTTGAAGCTAATGGCAGTAATACTATTGTGGATGTAATAGCTCTATCATTATCCTATCAGGATGCTATCAAGTGCAATCGATGTGGGCATCGTATCCTCTACAAGAAGCGTCAACGCCGTGTGATGATATTCGATGCTCGATGAGTAGCCAGCCCCTTGCAGCAACAGCAGCAGTAGTAGTGCTACTACAGTATTCATCCCGTTACTTACAACATTTATTGAATTGTGTATGACATCATGACAGGTCACGGCTGGCCGTAAGTGGGGCTGAGGTGGGATTGAATGCACCCAAAATTTGACCTCGCAGGTTCGTTGCCGATAGTCTCTTGAGCAATTTGATGTGTCTCTATGCTGTTTCTAGACATCAGGATCGAAAAATATCACCCCGTGAATTTCTGCGCAAATTTACCCTGCGAAGTAGTGGGCGCGGATTCGAATCCCAGGGTCGTCATTTCATCAGAAGTCCACTTTACCCTTTATTAATTACTACACAACTCTTTGAGACTCCATCCTACAAGAGCGAATGATTTCACAAAAAACTGGGGAAGATAGTATTTCAAATCGTTCCAAAAACCTTTCATAGAGGTGTCCCTGGATGAGTACCGCTATCGTCACGACCTTGACCTTCAGAGTCGAAATCGCTCCGTTCCTCAGAGACTCTGAATCTGCTTGCTTCGTCCCAGCGAAGCCCCCAGTTGTACGCGACCATACAATCGACTAGCCGATCGCCCAGTAAAGGATTGTCCGGATTCACCCTAAATCGCAAGTCCCAAACATGC